TACATGTAGGGTAGCAAAAGCATGCCTGCTGTCATTGTAGATGTTCACCTGCTTATTTTGTCCCCAGCGGAGGGCCTGGGTTAAGGCAATGAGCTCTGCCTGTTGGGCAGATGTCCCATGTCCCAAGGCTTGGGCCCAGATCACTTGGTCTTCTGTGACCACTGCTGCCCCAGCATAACGTACCCCATTTAGGACAAAACTGCTTCCATCGGTGTACAAGGTAGCATCAGGATCGTCTATAGGAATGTCTGTGAGGTCTTCTCTCAGGCTTGTTTTTGTATTAAGCACCTCAAGACAGTCATGGAGTGGGGTCTCAGGATTATCATCTGGTAACAAGGTGGCTGGGTTTAAGGCTGTAGTGGACAAGAACTTAATATGGGATGGGTCTAAGAGCAAAGCTTGATATTGTATAATCCGAGTATTTGAGAGCCATCTTTTAGGTGGGCTTTTAAGAAGGCTCTCAACTGCGTGAGGAGCCACAATTTGGAGCTCCTGGCCAAACGTGAGCTTAGTAAGTTTTTTTGTCAAAATGGCAGGGGTGGCTATGGCTCATAGGCAGTTTGGCCAACCTGCCACAGTGGGGTCTAGTCTCTTAGACCGGTATGTTATAGGTCTTTTTTAGGGCCCCAAGTATTGGGTTAGGACGCCTTTAGCAACACCCTTGTTTTTATGTATATGGAGCTGGAATGGTTTTATCAGATCAGGCAGACCCAAGGCAGGAGCTGAAGCAAGGGATTTCTTTACAGCCTCAAAAGCCTCTTGTTTAGATTTACTCTAACAGTTTTGTTTTTTTGTTTGTTTGTTTGTTTGTTTGTTTTTTTGGTCCCCACCAGTACTGGCATATAGAGGCTGGGCAATTTTAGCAAATCTTATGACCTAAAGCCTGTAATATCTAAGGAGCCCCAGAAATTGTTTTACCTGTCATTTGGTGGTAGGGACAGGGATTTTTAATATAGCTTTAATCCATTTATTAGACAGAGTTTATTGTCTTTTTTGTAGTTTATAGCCCAAATATATTATCTGAGATAAGCAAAGCTGAGCCTTTTTGGCAGAGACTCTGTAGTTCATTTTATTTAATTTTTGTTTAGCAAGTCTCCATTCAGTGTCTCATTAAACAGGGTTGGTGAGTTTTTATAGCCCTGAGGTAACGTGATCCAGGTTAATTGGCCATTCTTTTTTGTCTGGGGGTCTACCCATTTAAAAGCAAAAATGGATTGACTTACTGGAGTCAATGGGATCCTAAAGAAAGCATCCTTTAAGTCCAGGACTGTGTAGAAGACTCTGTCCGGGGGCAGCAGACTCAGAAGTATATATGGGTTGGGCACTATGGAGTGGATAGTTTTTACTCTATGGTTTATTTTTTGTAAATCCTGGACTGGTCTGTAGTTTGTGGTTTTAGGCTTTTGGACTGGCAACAGGGGTGTGTTTTAAGCAGACTTATAGGGTATCAGGATGTCCTCTTTTTTGAGTCTCTGTATATGGACACTTATCCCTAACCTGGCCTGTAGGTTCAAGGGGTATTGGCAGACATGAACAAGAGATGCCCCAGGTAAAAGAGAGATCACTACTGATGCCTGATGGGCAGCTAGACCAGGGGGGTTATTTTTAGCCCATATCCCAGGTATTTTAGATGTCTATTTTATAAGCAAGTCAGAGGAGATCTCTTTGGGTTTCTCACCTGCCAGTAACAAATGCTTTTTAGTCAAAGGGCAGGTGTATAGAATGGCAAAAGGTAAAGGATTTTTTTTCTAAGTGAAATCTCTAGTTTTTTTGGAAGGAGACTTGTGTTTGTAATTTATGGAGTAAGTCACGACCAATCAAGGGGTATGGGCATTCTGGCATAACTAGTAAAGAGTGAGTCCTCTGTTTTGTTCCCAGGTTTCCTATATGGGCCTGGGTCCAAGGGTATGACTTAGTCTTTCCAGTAGCTCCTTATATATGTGTCCTTTTTTTGATAGGGGCCCTGCAGGTTGTTGCAGGACAGAGTAAGTAGCTCCAGTGTCTACCAGAAAGTCAATAGATTGGCCCCCTACCTCTAAGGTGACCATGGGCTCCTGGGGGCCAGCTTCAGAGCCCCAGCCTCTTTAGACTATTTTTTTTTTCTGTGTCAAGACCTAAGCAGGCTTTTTTTTTTTTTGACATTTATGTTTTTAATGTCCTTTTTTCTTATAATAGGCACACTGATTTTCTTTAAGAGGCGGGTTTTTTTTTGTTTTTTTTTTTTATCTTTTTTTTCTGGACCCTTTTCCTTAACTTTGGAGTCCTTTTCCCCCATGGCAATTAGAACCTTTGTCATCTTCTTATTTAGCTCCCTACGGTCTTTTCTGTTATTAAAAACTTGCTGAGTTATCTCTACCAGCTCTGTTAGTGTTTTCTTTTTTTTTAATTTTTTAATCTTCTGTAATTTTTTTTTAATGTCTGGGGCCAACTGACATATAAAGGCAATATTTATAGTGCGGCAGTTTTCAGGGGCTTTAGGATCTATCAGTGTATATATCCAATAGGCCTCTTGGAGGCTCTCTAAGAATGCCACCAGAGATTCATCAGGTCCCTGACTGACCTCTGTAACTTTAGACAAATTAGTAGGCTTTCTAGCCGCCACCCTGATTGCCCCTAAAAGAAGCTGGCGATACTGGTTGAGAGCCTCCTTACCTCTATGGGAATTAGAATCCCAGTTAGGACGAGTCAAAGGGAAGGATTCCTCCAGTAGTACAGGATCTGAAGCTGGTTGGCCATCTGGGCCCAAAATTAATTTTCATCCACACCCCCGGATTCGCTCCTGCTCTTTAGATGTAAAGAGGGTCTGTAAAAGCTGTTGGCAATCATCCCAAGTGGGCTGATGGGTGAAGAAAACAGATTCCAGAAGAGATATATACCCTTGAGGATTTTGAGAGAAACAGGGGCTCTGGTTTTTTTAGTTATATAAATCACTAGTCGAGAAGGGGACATAAACCATGAAAGGGTGGTCATCTCCACCCAATTGTTCATGGAAAGGAAGTACTGAGGCTGGTGCTGAGGGGGTTAAAGGATCAGGGTCAGATGGCGGGGGCTGAGAAAAGGGAAGTCCACTATGGGTATGCAGCGGACTCAGAGGAGTGGTGGAGTTGGGGCTAGCTGAAAGGTTAAGGGAGGGACGGGACAGTTTAAGGTAAGGAGGGGGAGTCAGGGATTCAGATGTCAGGGGCAGCACAGGTGGCCTTTTAGGACTCTGACGATCCTTTTCTGGAGCAGTGGCCAGTGCCACCGTACCAGACGCACATTGGTGTGATGCCCAGGCACGGCGACAGGTTTTTAACCACTTTGGAGGGTCGTGTGATAAATCTATCTATGTTTGAATATATGGGACTTGATCAGGATATCCCAGCTTTTCAAATATGACCCTACGGACCTGATAAGCAAGAAAGATATTAAAAGAGCCCTTCAGAGGCCATATGGACTCTGGTAGGTGGGGCCACTCCAGTTCGCACAAAGTGCGGAGATTCCCCGGGGAGACAAGGTCTCCCTAGTCAGCAGCTCGTCGTGGGAATTCCTGGAAATGATCAAGAATACATTGCAAAGGTGACACAGAAGCAGAAGCACATTGACCCATGATTATCAGACAAACGACAATCGGCCAAAACACACAAAAACAAAACAGAAACAGACCTAAGACTCCAAATCATCATCACAGAAAGGAGTTGAGTCTGGAGGCTATTGCTGCGTCCAGCACCTCTTAGAACTCTCAGAGGGGGCGCCCAACAGAACAGACACAGATGTCTTACCGGCAAGGTCTTTCAGATGGTTTGGTCTAGTCAGTCTGAATGATAGGATTTATGAGTTTTTGGACACCGTCCCAGGGTGTGAAAGTTCCCCTGGGGAAATGGTTTCCAAAGACTCTGGTTCCTATGATTGATTCCCAAATAAGGGAATCCCGGACGAGCCCCCAAATGTTATGGGTCAACTCTGCATAGGAACCAGATCAGCCAGATAGAAATTTGAGTAGAGCCTTTTATTTGCTGAGCTCAGGTCCATCAGCCACTTCTCTCTCAGGAGAAGGCTGATCGGCCCTGAAGGTAGGTAGCAAGGGGGTATTTATAACACAAATTATATCTAGTTTGGTAAGCAAACTTGTTATCTAGTATAAAACAACAAAAACTATATTTATTTGACAGCTACAAACTGTTTATAACTAAAAGGTCTTTTATAGCTTAGTGATAAATATATATTTTTATAAGATATATTTTAAGCTGACTATGTTACAGGAGATGGTTGGGGAGGGAGTTTGTGTTAGCTTGCTGCCGTGACAAAAAAGTTTATTGTTAAACAGCCTTGAGCCAAAACAAACAAACAAACAAACAAACAAACAAAAAACCACACACACACACATTTTTTAGAACAGATAACAAAAAACACAAGGGGTTTTTATAATTTTCCACAATTAAGACACAAAACTCTATTAACCCTTTACAGTGTCCACTAACCAATTAAGCACTTACTGAGCTCTGTTTACCCATAACTAGCTCTGCATTCAGCGGCCACTGGACACTAGAGATACTTCTGTAAAGCAGGGAGCAGTACCCACTTGCAATGAAATCTCTAACATCGTTTTGGTTTGGGACTTCATTCTCCAACATTATATGATCAGGAGCACTTGGGGCACGCTAACCCAAGTGCAGAGATCTCATGTACTACGTTAGAAGTGATGAATTCTTAAATGCTGTGTATGGAACCCAGAGTGTCCCCCAAGGCCCCTCCTCTCTCCAGACTGCTGCAGATACCTTTGTGCCAGCGGTTGCTGAGGACGGTATTCTGGGCTGACAGAGGCAGGGTCGGGACTGCACTGTCCCTGCCCAAGCAAACGGGAAAACCGTTCAGGTGCTGACGCAGCACCAAAGACCGAGAGGACCTCTGACTCCGAAGCTAAGCGAGGAGGCTGTGCATCGCTGGAGCTGGTTCTGACCAGTTCTATCCGGAACACCGCCAATCGCATCCCATCCCGAGCTCCTGTCCCCAAAAGTTACCATTGTGTTTGCGACGATGGTCTCCTAGGATCGCTCCAAAGCAGTTCGCAGCCCGTAGAAATCACAGAAAATAGAAGGTCTAGTCGGTGGGGGCCGGCCGCAGAACCCTCAGGATTCGCATCTCGCCGCCATCACACAGGAAGTGCCCTCCTCCCTTAGCCTCCCTGATTGGAAAATTCGGAGAGCCCGCGTCTGCGTCGCTGATTGGCTCCTCCTCATCTGTCACTCAGCTCAGCGGAGCCTGCCGGAGAAACATCCCTTCGCGCGCAGGGGTGGAGCTCAAATGACAGCTTGTACCCTAGGAAGGTGTGTGCCAGTCTCTGTCCTGCGCATTCAGTCTCATCTGGCCTGAGGAATGCTTGCATCTGGGGGCTGTGCTCCTGGGTTTTCAAAGCGCCTATGGTTTTCTTAATGGACTCATTGGACTCTTCTTAAAAATGGGACATAAGCGTGCCCAAGAGTCAGTCCCCTGATGTCAGAATACATATAGGCAGCGCAGGCCAAAACAAGATAGAATACAGTGAGGGCCTGCAGTTGGGAAGGAGGCAGTTGGTTTCATTCCCAAGACTGTCACACTGTCTCGCAGTCTAATAATTTTCATTCATGAAATGTATATGTGACCTGGAAAAGTAATGAAATTCTGGTGTAAATTAAGTTAGGGGGCCGGCAAATAGCTCAGCAGACTAAAGCGTCTGCTTAGGCAAACTTAGGCAAGTGCAGGGACATTGGTGTGATCCCCAGCACCACATGCTGTTGCAGCCCAGAGTCCCAGGGCAGGATGAGCTGGCCACAGAGTGCGGGTGGGCATTGAAGTATACACCTATAATTCCAGCGCTGCAGAGGCTGAAAAACAGGAGGATCACTATGAGTCCCAGCTGCATAGTGAGATCTTGTACCAATCAAATACATAGAGGAGAGGCAGGGAGAGGAAGGGAGGGGAGGGCAGGGGAGGAGAGAGGAGAGATTAGTGTTGGATGATAGCAATATTCACAAAAAAGTAAATGTGAAAGAAAAGCAAGCATGCCAACCCTCTCAGACTTTATACTTTATCCAGAGTCATATAGAATACCTGAATTCTGAAGATGAACACATTTTCAAATATAAATACCAGAAAGACTGCTGCAACAGCCCACATTTGATCCTCCAGAGCACTTGCTTGGGATGAGGCTGGGACACAAAGAGACTTTAGGCTATGAGCTCACCAGGCCCTGTTCTGGTTTATCACATATTGAAATCCTCCAACTTTTTTTGTATATTAATTTTATTGAGAAAGAAGTAGCAATGAGACAGTTTCAAAACAGGTTAGCAGGACAGTTACAATAAATAATACATTGCATATTGTTGTCTTCGTAGTACTTATTCATAGTACAAGATGCAGACAGGATAGCCTGTCCAAACACTATTAGTTCAAAACTTTCTTCACATTGAACTAAGACAAAGTAACTGTATATCTATGCTATTTTGCATATACAGATATATATATACATATATATATATATGCT